TATGTGTGTGAAAATATTCCCGTTTCCATTGGTCAGTGTTTCTCGTTTTCTACTGCAGGATTTCTGGACAGTCATGTCTCGCGACTTCATGGCATTGATCACTCCCACAGGACTTCCGGTGCCCATTGTTCGTCAAGGTACATTGGTGGATCTTACTCCTACTGTGATTCCTTTCTCGTCGTCCGATGCACCCAGAAGCGAACTGGAGATTAACTCTCTCATGGCAGAGATTGATCTCACTGCACTGGACGTGGAACTTCGCGGTGTAACAGACATTGCTGATCTTGCTTATGATCATGTGTCTAAGATCTCCTCGCTCATTGCTGCTGCACAGAAAGGTAGGAAGAAGCAAAACTTCAAGCACATGGACTATGGGGACGTAGATGACAAGGCACATCAATTGATTCGTCATCACGTGAAACCCAGAAGTGCCATGTTTGACCTTGGCAGATTGAGCAAAGAGATGCCCGTAGAAGAAGAGAGACTGACTGGTAGGAGAGAGACCCGTAAGTCCTACAAAGATGGCAGTCGTAAGACGGTGATTGATGCGGATTTCCGTTCATTGGAGGACTCCAAGGCTAAGGATGATCGAGAGTGGATTGGGAGCACTCGCTTCGCATTGAGGCAAAGGCTGCGTAAACGCCCGGAGGCTTCGCAGCCCCCGAAGGCATTGACGCCTCAGCCCAAAACATCACCTAAACCTGAGCCCTCGCAGGCATTGAAGCCCAGCTCTGAAGCGTTAAAGCCCAGCAGTTCTCCCGTTGAGCGAGATTGACTACAGTGTAGCCGAACTGAAGAAATTCATCTTCGAATGTGGTAGGACATTTGGCGTGTTGCAGTACGACCAAGAAAGTCCCCTCAAAGCATTGTGTCAACGTGTTTGCTCTGAGTTAGGTGGATTGAGCTTGCACGCAGCCCCGAAGGAGGAACTTCCAACGCTGAAGATGGACCAACATAACGTTCGAATTCCAAAGATCCGATGGAAAAGTGATTAAGGTCAAGGACGCCGCCGTGTTTGGTCAAGTGACCCAACCGCTGTTCGCAGTGGGGAAACTGTACAGAGTCGGATGGGGCATCGAGCCTCAGGATGCATACAGTGCTTTCCTGACGAAGCTAGTGAAGCGGAAGAATGGAACGTCGGTATCGTATGTCCCGATAAGGTTTTCAAGAAACTCAACGGTGACAGATCTTAGGATCTATAGAGCGGCAATGGAAAATTGTTGAACATTTTGCCGTATCGAAAGTCCCCATTTTATCATGTGATTTGCTTTGCAGTATTTCATGCACTCACATGTTTCACTTTGAGATCGAGTTGCATCTGAAGGCGTCTTTGAGAGTTCAAAACATTTTCATGGTAGCGGAGCTTGGGCTGACCCAAGCTTCGAGACACGGGGGTTCTCGTTCTTTGCAAGGCGAAGTTCGTGTGGAGCCCTTCTGGTTTTCTGTTGGTTTAGGATTCAGGGACCCGTAGCTTGCAGTTCCCGGGGCCGACCGGACGAGCCATTGTGTGCTTGAGCAAAACGGCGACCTGGGTGTCGACCGAGCTTCTCAAGGAGAGGCTGCACAGCTTCTACGTGGAGCAACTGATCCGGAGGCCCAAGCCAGAGAACAGGTCGCAAGTTTCGTGGGGTAATATCCTTTACAGGTATCAGCAAGCCTTTGAGCAGCGTCTTGAGCAGTTGCACAGCGTTCCTGAAGTGTGGCAGTTTGCGACTAAGTGCCTTTCACAGCCAGACCTTAAGGAGGCGTTTGTGGTGTTTGGGGCTGAGGAAGTATCCGACAGCTGTGTGCCCGAGAGTGTACAACTTGCATCTTTGCATCCAGAAGAAGAGAGTTCGTCGTTTGAGAGGGATCTTGAAGCAGCCGACGCCGACCTTCGTTCATTGTTGCGTGCCACCGATTGTGAGCCTTCCAGTTCTTCGGTGTGTCCCGTGTCTTCAGTGGGCAGGCAAGGTTCCGAGCGTCGCCAGAGATCCTCAAGTGCGAGCCAAGTCTTTGATCGTGCATTGAAGCATTCCGATTCTGCGATTGATTTGGAGTGAGCACTTTTCTGCTTAAACACAGTCCCAATGGAGTCCTCGCAAGGCCAGCAGTTGCCCGTGTTGCCTCAGGAAGCCACAGCCAGTGGTAGTGGAAACCCGTTCCTCCCAGGCAGCCCTGCAGCAGGACAGCTTGACATGGCCCAGATGCAGATGCTGATGGCACAGATGGTTGAGACGGCCCAAGCTGCAGCACAGGCTGCTCAAGCAGCCGTTGCCAGGCCCTCGAGTTCGAGCGGTACAGCGGGGTTTGCCGATGCAAATAAGATCTTGAATCGTCCTACAGAGTTTGGCAGTGCTGTGCATGACAATGATGTTGCTCAATGGGCTGAATGGAGTCATAGCTTTCGGACTTGGCTAGTCTTCGCGGATCATGAGTACGAAACGGACCTCAAGATCGTGGAAGAAAACCTCAACACGCCGGTGGATCTGAGCACAGCCGACGCAGCCCGCGTCGCGAGATCCCAGCGGTTGTTTGCAATCCTTGCCAGTGTTCTGCGTGCAAAGCCTAAAGCCATCCTTCGCCAAGTGCCTGACAAGAGTGGCCTGGAGGTTTGGAGAGTCCTGACAAACACGTTTGCACCACGAACCAAGTTCCGAGGTTTAGCCCTTCTGAACGCCTTGATGAGCCTGCCAACCTTCACGAAAGACCGGAGCCTTCGTGAACAAATTCAGGGGTTAGAAAGGGTAGCTGAAGAGTATCGCAAGGTCACCAACAACTCGCCAGGTGAGCACGTGATGCTAGGGACACTGGTCCGTTGCCTGCCTCATGCGCTGAGACAACATGTGCAGCTGCAAATGTCTGAAGCTAGCACATACCAGAGCATCAGGGATTACGTCCTGGGCTATGAGGTGACGACCACCTCCTGGACCTCAGCGAAGATGCACCAGGCTTTGGGTGTGGTGCCCATGGCGCCAAGTGCTGGGCAGGAGCAATCGCCAGTGCCCATGGAAGTGGATGCGTTGATCCGCAAGGACAAGGAGAGGCATCCCAAAGGCAAAGGGAAGGAGAGACATCCCAAAGGCAAAGGCAAGGAGAGGCAGCCCAAAGGCAAAGGCAAGGAGAGGCATCCCAAAGGCAAAGGCAAGGAGAGGCAGCCCAAAGGCAAAGGTCCCCACCAAGAAAGCCCAGGCACAGGTAAAGGCCAGCGTGCAAAGGGAACATGTCATAACTGCGGTAAGAAGGGTCATTATGCCAGTGAGTGTTGGAGTGCACCGCGTGTCCAAGCAGTCCAGAATGCACCATCTGGGCACCCTTCCGACACTGCAACGACTGTGAGCACGCTCGGACCTTCAGTTTCTCAAGTTGCGCCAAGCACTGCAACCACCCAGCATCGTGTTGCTCGTGTTGCGATTGACATGACAGGCCCGGAGTTCACCATTTGCCAAGAGGGTCGCATCAATGCAGTGCTCATGTGTGATGGGCAATCCCACCAGAGCGACCCTGACCCAAGTTGGTTGAGCTTTGTGAGTTTGTGCCAATCGGTTGCAAATGCAGCGGTGACTTCACCTAAGCCAGCCGAGTTGCAGCCTGTTGTTCCAAGCACCAGCGTTGAGATGTTTGACATGTCATATGCAGATGAAGATGGTGCCTGGACCGTGCCTGAGGGCGAACTGCGTGGTATCAACTTGATGCCTAGTGACAGGCCTGCCTGTGCAGCTGCGTGTTTGAGCACCCATGCGAGCAACTTTGCCGCCGAATGCAACACCAAGCGCAAGTGTGAAGTCAGCAAGCATGTCCCGGCGAGGATAAGGCACGCATTGATGACTCAGAAGAGTGCTGATGCGCGCGATGCGCTGCATGTACGCGCAGTGACCTCTGACACGCCAGGAACCACTATAGAGCTAGTGATAGACTCAGGCTCAGACGAGTCGTGCCTGCCCGAATCCTGGCGCCATGTTGGGGTTGCTGGCGGCATCACGACAAACAGCTATCGTGATGCTCAGGGAAGTGTGATTTCGGGATCACAAATGAGGACGGCAGTGCTTGACATAGATGGGGTTCCTTTCAAGGAAAGGTGGTTGTTGGGGAGTGTGACGCAACCGCTGTTTAGTGTGGGGAAACTCCTCAAACGGGGTTGGAATCTGATACATACCGACAATACCCCTTTCTTGACGAGCCCGGACAATGCGATCCGTGTACCATTGCATTATCGCCACAATTCCTTGCACGCCACTGGAACAATCATGAATGTATCAGTGTGTACTGATCACGAGGCCGACAGAGCTGTGATGGCGCTAACGGTTGGGGATGTTTGGTTAAGCCTGCCGGATAAGTTTGTCGAGGTTCAGCCCGGCATCTCTGCCCGTAGAGATTACACCACAAACTTCCTTGATGTGACAGTCCCACTTGGGCACAAAGGGGTGGCGTACAGGACGACACTGCAGCAGAGACCCACAGGCTGGCAAGTGATCGAGGTCAACAGCCTTGTGGAAAATCTTGATCAAGCAGATTGCGAAATTGCCCCTCCGGTGAACCGTCAGACCATCACCATCGGCTCTGTGCATCCCGTGAACATCGACAGCTTGTTCTCTCGTGTGCCCAATGCCATGCCTTCAGCAGCACCGCCCGATGATGATTTTCCTGATGTGCCAGATGATGCAATGAATTTTGAAGAGCATGATGAGCACGATGAAAATGTTGCTGCTGGTGATGACGGGGGAGGCGTTGGACCACTTGTTCAAGCCGAGGATGTGCCAGCTCAAGGGCATGTAATCGTGAATGGCATAGAGCTTCACTTGGGTTGTACCCTCAGCACCCTCAGAACGGCATGCCAAGTCCTTGGGATAGGCAAGTCAGGTGGCAAGAAGACAGTTCTCCAGCGGATAGAGCAGCACCTGAAGACACAGGAGCTGCTGCAGCAGCACGAGTTCCAGACAGATGGGCGTGAGCCGTTGCGTGAGCAAAAGTTCGTGGAAGCACCCACGGCTGAGGAGCAGAGGCGCCACGAGTTGAGTCACATGCCTTATGCTGACTGGTGCCCGCATTGCGTGAGGTTCAGAGCTAAAGCAGATAAGCATGTGCGTGCAAAGCCAGATGTGCGTGAGGATTCCGTGTGCTGCATGGATTTTGCAAAAACTGGTAGGCGCACTCCTGCCCAGTTTGAAGGCCACACGCAAGAGAAACTTGTGGTGCTGGTGTTGAAGGATTCACACACTGGTGCAGTCCATGCCATTCCGACACCTGCCAAGGGTGGCACAATCGCTTTCAAGTACCTTGTTGCCGAAACTTGCGGATTCTTGAACTACTGTGGCCACCAAACATGCACCATAAGGTCAGACTCAGAGCCGGCCTGCCTGGCCCTGCAACGAGGCATCAAGGCCTTCCGCAGCAAAATGGGCCTCCAGACCCATCTTGAGCAGACGGAGGCGAGTGATCATCAGGGCAACGAGGCCGAGCAGAGCATAGACGGCATCAGACAACTGGCAGGATGCATCTTGGACCAATTTGAAGAGCGGGCAGAGACCACAATCGGGTCCAGTCACCCGATGCACGCCTATGCTTGGCGCCACGCCGCGTGGTTGCACATGCGGATGTCCAGGCAAAATGATCTAAGTGCTTTTCACGTGATCAATGGGCGGCCGTACCTAGGCAAATTGGTGTGTTTTGGGGAGACAGTGTTTGCCCGTGTCAAAAGTTCCATAAAAGGAAAAGCTAGATGGTGCAAAATGCTTTGGCTAGGGAAACTTCCGGTTTCAGACTTGCATTTTGGAGTCACTGAAGGGGGTTACATGCTATCTTCCAGATCCATCCGCAGGTTGCCTAAGCAATATCTAGCGACAATGTGTGCCAGTCTGGTAGACATGCCGTGGACACAGGCATCGTTCCTTGCAGGACAAGTTGGCCAAGCCCGCAAACAGAAGACTCAGGCAGAGGCGTTGAGCGCAGGCGGGGAAGAGGCAGGAGAGGCGGCACATGAGCAAGTGGCCGAAGTGCCGTCGCAGCAGGGAGCATCAGAGCATCCCATGCCCTTTCCAGAACACTTGTTGCCTGACGATGCCATGCTTTCGGAGCTTGTGCCACGCCACCACGCATGCCAGCTGCATACACACCTGAGCCGCCTACGCCCATGAGCTCAACACCGCTTCAGCCGCCACAGGCTGAAACACCAATAGGGGTCGCCCCCCTAGATTCTCCTATGGCGAGTATGGACCAAGCAGAGGACATGTTACCACCAGGAGTCGTGAGGCATGCCGCTGAGCACGCAGGCGGGGATGCACCAGCCCGGAAGAAGCTGAGGCTTGATGCTTTGCAAGTTAGTGCACATGATGCAGAAATGTTCCATCTTGATAAATCCATTGAGTTGGTAGACGAGAGTGCAGAGCAATTTCTTGATTGCGAAGACCAGGATGACAATCAAAGTGAGCAGAACAGCCTGGTTCTGACCTTGACATCCCTCCAATCTTGACCAAGCCTTTCAGCAAAATCGAGCCACAGTGCAGTGCATCTGAGCAAGCAGAAATTGATGCTGCAGCGGACGCATTCGAACTTGCACGCCTCCTGGGCAGCAGTGTGCTTGAGCAAATGCAATCGTGGCAGCCAGGCCACAGGACGTTGTCATCCAAGTATGTACGCAGCTGGCGTGCTAAAACTTTGGGTGGCGAAAAGAAGTGGCTGAGGAGATCCAGGTTAGTCGCAAGAGAGTTTGCACATTTGGATCCAGAGAGACAGCATCTCTTTGCCCCGACCACGACACAGTGCATGCTGCGCATCATACCGGCCCTCTTCGTTCGCCACTTCCACGAAGGATGGGCACTGATGAGCCTTGACGTTTCAGACGCTTTTCTCCAGTGCAAGCAAGAGCATGAAACCCTGACCAAAGTGAATGGCCAGTGGTTCAGGCTACTACGCATGCTGCCGGGGCAGAGAGACGGGTCGGCTACCTGGTTTCGGGATTTCATGCAGGAAATCAAAACAGCTGTTGAGGCAGAGCCGCTTGCCGAACAGCCTGTCTTGTTCAGAATTCCAAAGCCAGCCGGGGCAGGCATGGTGCACGTCGACGACATGCTGTGCACAGGACCTGTGAAACGCTTGGAGGACCTAGAGAGGCACCTGAAAAGCAAATTCAAAGTTTCGGTTGATTGGATCCGTTCAGTAGGAGAAGAAGTAACTTTTCTGAAGAGGCGCCACGTCCTTGTAAGCCCTGAGCTTTTGGTTGTAGAGCCTGACGTTAAGTACTTGGACAAACTTCTTCAAGTAACGGGTTTATCAGGTGCAAAGGCGAGGTCCAAGGCAGCACCGTTCCCAACTGGGGGATTGCCAACCGATTCTGAGCCAGACCCAGAGCTTGATCCGGAGACGGCGCAAATCTGCCTTGGGGATACTCATGTATCTGAGCGTTGATTTGCTGGCATCCCAGTTCGGCATCCGGTATCTCGCGACCCGTGCACACAAGCCTATGCAAGGGTGCTGGAAACTGCTCAGGCACCTCACGAGCTATGTGAGTTCCCATCGGTCACATGTGATCGGGCTTTCAAAGCCAACCTTGGGAAAGGGGCTGGTGTGCAACCGTGTGTCTGAGCACAAAACATCAGTGCTCGAAATGTTCTCAGACAGCGACTGGAGTGGAGACAAACGCACACGCCGCGAGCGTGTCCGCTTGCTGCGTGGTATGGGATGGCCAACTGCTGTATTCAAGCTCTCACACGCAAAAGGTTACAAGCCTGTCATCGTGTGAAGCCGAGTATAACTCGCTTGTTGCAGGCAGCGCCACCGCCATCCTGTTGCAAAACTGCATATGCCACGTGTGCCCAGACCTTGATGTGAAGTTGTCGTGCCTATGCGACAATGCTGCCGCCAGATCCCTTGGCAATCGTCAAGGGGTAGGACGAACACGGCACATAGACGGGAAGTTGCTGTGGCTGCAGCAAAAGACACAGGAGAAACTTCTTGAAGTGATTCCCGTGGGCACGCGAGACAACGTGTCGGACTTGCCGACGAAAGCACTTAAGCCTGAGAGGATTGAGTTCCTGCTTGGAAGGCTGAACGTGCGCTGCAAGGACAATGGGTTTCAGGTTGTCAGCGAGTCAGAGCTGCTTGACCACGAATCGCGACGAAAGATTTGCAGAGTAGTCAAGAAGGGATCAGTGAACGTGCAACAGGTTCTTCAGGTTCTTGCGTTAATCCTTCAGCTTGATAGCATTGCTGGTGTCAATCCAGATGAGCCCAATACCAGTGCAGACGCCTTGGGCCGGGACACTGGCGATGAGACTGGAGGTGGCTACGAGAGCATGCTGTGGAGTTTTCTTGAAAGAGTGCTACATGCGATTTTCTTGATCCATGACTTCATGGTTAATCACCCGCAAGCAAGCCTGATACTTGCCCAAAGCACGATCCTTGTGATGCTATGCATCTGTTTCTGCTGCAGACGAAGCAGAGCGTCGCAACTTCGTGAGACTGCTGAGGCAGGAGCAGCAAGTGCACCCACGGTGAGCGTGCATATAAAGGTTGTTGGGGTTTCGGTTCCTGGGGATAGGATAGGTCCCGAACCCGCCGAGATCCCTAGGTCAGACCCGAGCCTTAACTTGCAGCCACAAGCAACCAAAGGAGACACAAGTGATGATGAATCGGACCCGACAGCTGCACCGTCATCTGCAGTGCCGGGTACTACGCAGCCGATCCTTGAGCAGTGCGATGCATCACCAGAAGCACCAGCCAGGGACCCGCAAGGGCATCGCATCGTGTTTGCGACAGCGAGCCGTGGATATGCTTTCCACAGTGTGCGAGAATGCCCTAAACTGAAGTGTGCCAAGCAAGTGTTAAGGTACAGCAGGCGTGAAGCCATGAGGCGAGGCTATCAGCCATGCAAAGTGTGTGGAGGATGATCCAGTGTTTTCATTCCACTTGGAAATGTTCATGATGCTGCGCAGTGGTCGCATGTATATAGCTTTATGTACATAGCTTGTGATGCTCATGAAACTTCACTTGCCAGTCCGTGTGGACCTTGAAATCCAGCAATCTCCCTACCGCTTTGCCACACCAATTTGGTGTCAATCCTTTACGACAGGCATCTATCTGGATGGGTGTGGAGCACCCTGAACCCGCAGAGGGCAATCGTGCCCTGATGGTAACTAGGCCATCACAATCTCTGACGAGATCTTGAAAAGACCTTGTGTGCTTGCGCTTGGGCCATACAAGCATCTACATCTCTGTCCTTACCAGCCGGTGGGAAGAGATTCCGCATAGGCCGTAGCTGTACAGTGCTGCGTAGTGGACGCTAAGCCAAAGACCTTTGAGGCAGAGCTTAGAAGACGCCAACACTTTTGGAGTGCAATCCTGAACTAAGTATGTTGTTGTTTCCTGTGGGGCATCGGCAAATGTGAAGTAGACGAAGCAAGCATTCCGCCAGCTCAATGCAGCATCGAGGCGGGGTGTTGAACATTTTGCCGTATCGAAAGTCCCCATTTTATCATGTGATTTGCTTTGCAGTATTTCATGCACTCACATGTTTCACTTTGAGATCGAGTTGCATCTGAAGGCGTCTTTGAGAGTTCAAAACATTTTCAAAAATGGACGAGACGATGTGCCGATCTCAATCAGGAAACTTACCCTGACGAAGGAACTGAAGGATGACATAGAGAATGGCAAGTATGAAGAAGGTTGGTTTTATCTCACCGACGGACGGCCAGTGAGAATCGACTGGGACGTGAACACGACGTACAGCCTTGGACGAGACGAAGGAAAAGCGTTCAATTACAGAACCGCGCTGAGAACAAGATATGAAGAAGAGCAAATAGTCTGGGAAGAAATGGAATTTTATGAGTGTGCCGAGGAGTGGAGAGACAAAGGCACAATGGTCATAGTACCAGAGATCGAGAAGGCAGTGGTCATCACGATCATGGAAAGATTTCCGAGAAGTGTCGAAGATTAACGGAGAGTACAGTAGTCCGTACAAGAGAAAGGAACTAGAGGAAGAGCGTGATGTGGAGATGGAACCACAAGAACAAGACGACCTATGGAAAGGATCAGAAAAGGAGTTGCAGCGAGAAATTGACAAAGGAATTGAAGAACTGGCACAAGCGCCAAGTCCTGGGTTCGCACCAGGACAGCATATGCAAGAAGAGAACGATGAGAGTGAGCGAAAGAAAGTTGAAGAACAACTTCCGAAACTTGGAGAAGCAATGGATGAGAGAATGAAGATCGGAGGAATCGAGCTTACACCAGCGAGTACGATAAAGCAGTTAGTAAAGCTCAAATTTGGCAGAGACTGAAAGAAGCTGTAGCGTCAAACAAGATGAAGGAACTAGTCGAAATCTCGAAAGGACTCGAGGTTGAGTTCTCAAGAGAGCCAGATGGAGAGAAACGACCGGAAGCGCCGAGCGAAGAAGAAAGAAAGAGACACGAGCTGACACACCTACCGAAGGCGGACTGGTGTGAAAGTTGTTCGGCAACAAGAAGTAGAGAAGATGATTTCAAGATAACAGAGAAGAAGTATGAAGCGTCGTTAGTAAGTATGGGTTTAGTTCACCGGAACAAGGAACGAAGAAGATGCAAAAGACGTGAAAGATGCATTGTGCATAAGTTTGGTCATGGTGGACCAAGGGACAAAGTTTGTCCACGCAATTCCAGTCCAGAGCAAGGAAGTGACAAGCTATCTGGTGGAAGAAGTTTGTAGAGTGCTGATGCTAATGCAGCCGAAAGTGATCCTGAGAACGGACACCGAACCAGCGATGATTGCGTTGAGAAAGAAGGTGCAGACGATAAGGAAAATGCAGAAGCTTGAGACAGAGATTCAAGATGTTGCGCCAGACACACACCAAGGAGCGCAAGTTGAAAGATGGGTACAAACAGTGAGGAACCTATCGAAGACTTTGGTGTTGGAGTTGAGAAAGAAGCGAAGGTAAAGATCACGAGCGAAAGTGCACTGTATCCATGGGCACCGAGACACGCAGCATTCCTGTTGAACAGGTTTGTTGTACAACAGGGGAAAACCCCGTTCGAGTTGGTATTTGACCGTGAGTACAAAGGAACTTTGGTACCATGGGGTAGTGTGGTTGTGGCGAAACCACTACCGAAGACAAAGGAGAAAGGTGAAGCATGGAAGAAAGGAATCTTCGTTGGAAAAGATATGGTTTCGAACATGAATCTGGTGAGTACCAGAAGTGGAATCATCAAAAGTCAGACAATGAGACAATGTTCGCCAACGTTCGAAGTGGAGACATTGGCAAATGCATGCGGAACACCGCGGAAATTTTGCCAAGAGCAGTTGACAGGACGGTCGCAGCCGAAGAGGCTACCGCCATCGAGTGGAATCGAAGTGGCGCCGATCGAAGGACCGCCAGTACAAGTTCCGAGAACTCCAGAGCAGTTGGTCTGGAGACACCGCAGTCTAGCCCGACAGCATCGCAAAGACCGAGCGATGCAATGGCGTCTGATCCACTGACAAGTGATGATGATGACAATGATGAAGATCCCGGCGAGGGCCAAAGAAGTTCTGAAGCAAGCAGCAGGAAAGGAGCAGCGGCAAGGAAAAGAGATGAAGCAAGTATGACCTCGGGTGAAGCCGAGGAAGAAGAGCTGGAAGGCACGAGCAAAAGAGAGCTCGAAGGAGCAGCCGCGGAAGAACCTGAAGCAACAAGGCCGAGAGTCGACGAAGGAAGCGGACAAGTTGAAGAAAGACCTGAGATCCAAAGAGAAGAACCCTCAGGAACGGTGAGAAGGATAATGGCCACAAGAAGTGTGCAAGAAGTTGCGTCATTTCTCAGGAAGGATTTGCCGAAGTACCATGATGACGAAGAGGTAGAGTTGGAGGAGTTTGAAGGACTCGAAGTCGAGTTTGAAGAACCTGAAGAGGAAAGAAGCTCAGAGCTCGGAGAAGACGAAGAGTTTGAGGAAAGCATGCCAAAGTGGTCAAACAAGTTCGAAGATGAACCTTCGAAGGTGGACGAAGACGAGCTGACGAAGGTCGACGTTGTGTCAAGAGAGCACGAGATAAGCCGACTCACAGAGATGAAAGTCTTGAAGGAATTGCCAGAAGGCACGAGTGTGAGCAACTACAAGTACCTCTCAACCAAAGTTGTCTACGATTGGAGGCATCGAGACAGTGAATGGCAACGGCGTGGCCGGTTAGTTGCCCGCGAGTTTAAATGGTTGGGGTCAACGGACATCGCAACGCTATTTTCTCCAACGGGAGTTGCGAGCACAGTGAAGTTGCTCTCAGCAATGTTTGTGTCGTCCAACGACCACATCCTCGGAAGCATCGACGTAGGAGATGCCTACTTGATGGTAGAACAAGAGGAACCAACTGTCGTCGAAGTCGACGGAAAGTACTATGAACTCGGATTCACGTTGCCAGGGCAACGGATAGGATCAAGCGCATGGTTCAACAAGCTGAAAGGATACCTCGAAGAGTGTTGGACTCAAATCCGACGAAGGACTACCAGCTTTGTTTTACAGGAGACAAGAAAAAGGAAAAGCTGGAATGGTTGTGTTGTCGCACGTTGATGACATGGAACTGTACGCGACGGAGAAAGAGTTCCAAGGATTGATCGAGTTCCTGAGAAAGAAGAAGTTGAAGATCAAGGTCGAAGGACCGTTGCGAGAGCAAGAAGGTTCAATGAGTTTTCTGAAGAGGATTCAGCGCAGTAAACGATGGAGATGTCGAGATCACGATGAATTCCAAGTACATCGAAGGATTGACCGAAGTGTTGGAGTTGGAAAATTCGTATCCAAAGAAACTGCCATGCCCAGCGGACAATGGAAGGGCAATGCAAGCGAAGAAAGGAGGAATGGACCCGCTATCGGAAGCGGATCACCACACGTACAGGAAAGGTGTTGGTATACTGTTGTTTGGGATTTCGCCTTCTTGAAACTTCCCACTTTATGTGATCTTGTCGTGGTTGCTTTACAGTATTTTCATGCTCCCAGTTTTCACTCACATGTCAATCAGTCATGTGCTTTGACTTGAGATTGCATTTGCACCGCAGTTGTGCCTTGGAGACTTGACTTTAAAGTGTTGAGTTGTGGGGATGTGTGTCTGTGGCGTCTTTTGTGTTTGAAAATCTTCGCATGGTGGCGGAGCTCTGGAAAGCCAGACTCCGGCCAAGTCTGGGGCTTGGGTGGTTTCTGGGTTTTGCTGTGCGAGATCCGTTCAGGGACCATCTGTTGTCAGGTCGCCTTCTGCCTCAGGGTTGACTTTGCGAGTGTAGATTGAGATCTGTAGTTGCGAGCCATATTGCGTGTGTGCTCCTGACCTGCCACGGTCAGCAGAGCAAGCAGGACGGCAATCCCTGCTCATATCCCTTGGTCCGTGTGGGAAAGCCCCAAAACCTTGAGGAAGCTAAGAAGCTGTGTGACTGAGTGGTACGTTGAGCTGCAGATTGGTAAGCCTTGTACCCCTTCCTTGACTCCCGAGAGTTTCCAGCGACGCCAGCTCATTCGACGGAAGGAGCACCAGGACAAACTGCGAAAGCTTACTTCAGGATCTGAGATCATTGCATACGGTTGCAAGTTGCTTGATAGTGAAAAGTCTTTGCTGGCGCCATTCCTTGACGCTTCCGTGACGATTTTACTTCAGGAGACCAAGGCCGAGAGTGTTGCGAGAGTTTCTGCTGTTTCTCGCAAGCGCAAGGCGTGCGACGTCTTTCCTGCATTGCGAAGTGAGGTTTCTGAGGTGATAGATTTGGAGCCAAGTGAAATTGGTGGGGTCATAGATCTAGATTAGTGGTTCGACCGTCGTTGTTGCAATGGCAGACACTGGTCCTGCCGTGCCTGACACCGATTCTGACGCCGAAGGTCTCGGCAATCCTTTCAGCCCCCAGTCACATGCAGCAGGTTCACCGCAGGCTCCAGGTCCCGATGCAGGTGGAGTCCTCGTCGCTCCTGCAGACTTGAGAGCCATGATCCAAGCCACACAGCAGGCTGCTCAGGCGGCCGCAGAAGCTGCCAAGCGCTCGCAGCCGCCTCTGATCGACCCAAGTCCAGCCTTGATATGTCTAGGATCCTTCCTAAACCCGACGTGTATAAGCCTTCCACACGTGAGGAGGAGCACAGTTCTTGGATTCAGTGGTATTGGTCGCTTAAACAATATCTTTGCGCTTTGGATGCTGGGTTCAGTTCCGAGCTGAGTTTCATCGAGAACAATCCTACTGTGGTGATTGGTGCAGTTGCCAGTGCTGAGAGTGAGCAGAGGTCAAAGCAACTGTACTCCCTTCTTGCAAGCCTTGTCAAGGGTCGTGGTTTGCAGGTCGTCCAGCGTACCCCTTTGCAGCATGGGTTTGAAGCGTTGCGCCAGCTAATCCAGCTGTTCCAACCATCCTCACGCACTAGGAGCCTTGGAATCCTGAGTGCCCTGACTTCCATGAATCAGTTCCGTGCCGGAGAGCCCCTTCTTCCCCAGGTCCTTGACATGGAAAGGATCATCGATGAGTATGAACGCAGCAGTGGGAAGAAGTTGGATGACGATTTCAAGTCATCGATTTTCTTGAAGTCTTTGAGTGGCAACATGAGGAATCATCTTGCAACGATCCTGACCGAAGATGTGACGTATGACACTTTGCGTGAATCTGCGTTGCGTTTTGAGCGCATGAACACCCGTTGGGATCACAAGAACCTGTTTCAGGGCGACAGCTTGTTCGCGTCTAAGAGCCGAGGCAATGAGCAACAGCCTGTGCCCATGGAGGTTGATGCCATGCTTCGTAAGGGTCCTAAGGGTGGTAAGCCTAAAGGTGGTAAGCCCAAAGGCAAAGGTGGGAAGGACAAAGGCAAGTCCAAGGGTTCTGGCAAAGGTGGCCAAGGTGGTAAGCCTAAGGGTCCGAGCAAAGGCAAACCTTCTGCACCCAAAGGCAAAGGTCAGCAAGGTAGTGGTTCGTGGGGTTCACAGGTCGGCTCTTGGGGTTCACAGGCCGGTTCTTGGAGCAGCCAGCAGAACGTGGTGTGTCACACATGTGGCAAGAAAGGGCATATTGCTCGCGATTGCTGGCGCAATGTGCAGCAGGTTCAGAGTCAAGGCCAACTTGAATCCAGTACTGCGAGCACCGTTGCCCCGAGCAGTTTGGGCCCCTCTGCGTCCCAGCTCGCTCCTGCATCTGCTTCAAGGCATGTGAACCGTGTTGAGATCGACATGACCGCCTTGTTGCATCAGTCACCTATGCCCTCTTCCGACTCCACCGAACACTGCTTGCGTGCTGTTCAGCGCTGTGACCTGCCTGACTCAGACTTTCTTGATGTCGTCAGAAGTTTGCACCGAATCCCAGGTTATGAGCCCCCATTGCCCAACCTTGTGCCGGTTGCTGTCGAAGTTCCCATGCCACATGTTCCTCACTTTGACATGTCGTACTCAGATGAGGACACTGCTTGGACGTTTTGTGACGTCGACGATTGCTTGAAGGTGCATGCCGTGCAATGGGATGCTGATGCCACGCCCTGTGGCCAGGACATCCAAGTTGTGGTGGATTCAGGGTCCGATGCTTCATGCTTACCTTTGAGTTGGGCCTCTGTCGGAACAGCTGCCGATGCAAGCGACGACAGTTTCCGGGATGCACAAGGACATCCGATCCATGGTTCTGAGATGCGCACCGCAACATTGCAGATCGGCGATGTTTGCTTTAAGGAGCGATGGCTTGTGAGCAGCGTCACCCAGCCCCTCTTCAGTGTTGGCAAGCTTTTGAGGCAAGGCTGGAACATCATTCATGATGACGACATTGTCCCGCATCTCACGAACCCAAATGGCTCTGTACGAGTGCCTTTGTATTACAAGCACAACAGCCTTCTCATGCCACAGGCACGATTTGTTCCGTCAGCGTTGACCCGGGGCCCTCAGTGCGTGCTCTTGAGGTCGATGATGTATGGCTGCAGCTTTCAGGGCACTTTGAGCAGCTGAGGCCTGGCATCTTTGCCCGTAGGGACAATTCCACTTGTCTTCTTGATTGCCTTGTGCCGTTGAGTCAGCATGGCGTGTCGTACCGCACCACATTGCGGCAGGAGTCCTCCGGTTGGCAAGTGTTTGAGTTGAATCAGGACATAACCAGGGTGGATGACCCTGAGCCTTCCTTTGAGCCTGAACGCATGTGGCACATCATCACGATTGGGTCCACTGAGCCCCTGAGTGTGGACACGTTGTTCCGTCGTGTTTCCCCGCCAGCTCGTCCAAGCCGTGATTTCAGTGGTGATGATGCTGAGTCAGAGGCAGGCCTGCCTGGCCTACCTCCCGAGCTTGATGGCGAGGCTCTTGACGATGAAGATGCTCAAGGGCCTGAACCTGAGGATGAGGGAGCTGGTGTTGTGAGCCCTGCCGAGTTGGCCGCTGAGCCCGAGCCTGGGCACCTTGTGGTTGAGGGTGTTGAACTGCACCTCGGGTGCACGTTGGCAACTCTACGTGCAGCATGCAGCGTTCTTGGAATCGGCCGCAGCGGCGGCAAGGCCACCGTTCTTGAAAGGATCGGCAACTACCTTGCACGCCAACGGTTACTTGAAAGGCATGCTGTCCAGGATGATCCGGTTGCCCGCGCCCAGCTTCCTATTGAACAGACTCCCGTGGTTGCCCCTAGCGAAGAAGAGCTTCGACGACACATGTTGTCTCACATACCATACCAGCCTTACTGCCCCCATTGCGTTGCCTACCAGGCGAGGTCAGACCGTCATGTGCGTCATCGAGCCGACACACGTACCTGCAGCACCCTTAGCTTCGACTTTTGCTACACTGAGCGTGCCACTGGTGAAGCTGGAAGCAAGCTAATCTGTCTTGTGCTCAGGGACAGCCATACGGGTGCTGTTTGTGCCATACCCACGCCTTCGAAAGGTGGGTCAGTGGTGTCCCGTTTCCAAGTTGCTGAGATCTGCAAGTTTCTCAACTTTTGCGGTCACGAAGAGGTCACCCTTCGCTCCGATCCCGAGCCCGTGTGTCTCGCTCTCCAGCAAAGTGTCAAAGACCTGAGAGCCAAACTTCGCCTGGCTACACATCTTGAGCAGATTGAAACTGCAGACCATCAGGCCAACCCAACTACGGCGAGGCAGTGTTTGCAAGGGTGAAAAGTTCCATAAAGGGCAAACCGAGGTGGATCAAGATGTTTTGGCTAGGAAAACTTGGTGTATCTGACTTACACTTTGGTGTTTCCCCTGGAGGGTTTTTAATTTCTAGCCGCAGTGTCCGCAGAATGCCCCAACAGTACAGCCCTGAGCTTGTTCCCGTTGTGCGTGACATGCCTTGGACGCAATCAAGTTTCTTAGCAGGCCAGGCGGGGCAGGCACGCATGCAGCGTACACCCGCCATAGCGGACACAGTACACACATCTGATCCCAGCCAGTCAGAGGGTGCTCTCGAGGCTGAGGCGAAAGGTCCTGCAGAGCCAGGTGGAGTGTTGCCTTATCCTGGCTACCTGCTTCCTGATGAAACGCCTCTCAGCGAGCTTGTCCCACCTTCGGCTTTGATCGCAAGCGGCACACCTGAGCCGCCAACTCCGAACCTGCACAGGCCAGTAGCTGTCACACCTATGGAGGTTGAGTCCTCAACCCCTACACCGCATGATGCAATCGCTTCAGGCCCTGCTCCAGCTGCCACACCAGCCGGCCATGGTTTAGGTCCTGCCCTTAGTGGTTCGATCCCTAGTGGTTTAGGGCCAGCCCCTAGGGTTGCAGATGGCGGTGGTGATGGGCCAGGCGGGGATGCTTTGCAAACAGCGCTCAAGCGTGCCAGGCTGAGGCTTGATGCAGTTCAGTTTGGCGGTGAGGAGTTTTATCACCTAGATGATGAGCCAATGAATCTTGATTTCGGAGACGAAGTGCTGTGTGAACTTGATGCTTACGATCAGGCGCTTGACCAGTCGCTTGATTCCTTTGCAGATGAAGTATCCACTTCCGATGAGATCCCCGCATGCTTGATTCACGAGTTTTCAGAGCTTGAGCCCGAGTTAACACCGGAAGGCCTAGCCGAGGTCGACCGGGTTGCTATGCTGTATGAGGTTCGAAGGCTTGTTGGCATCGACGTCATTGAGGAGGTCTCAGGGCCACAGGTTGATCATCGCAAGCTTTCCACACGGTTCGTGTGCACGTGGAGGCCGAAGGAGATCAACGGGCGACTTTGCTGGCTCAGAAGAGCCCGTCTCGTTGCGCGAGAGTTCGCGTTTCTCGACCCGGGGCGCGAGGACCTGTACTCGCCAGCTTCAAGTTCGCTTCAGAGCAGAGTGATCCCTTCGCTGTTCATGAGCAACCGAGGTCAAGGCTGGTGCATGTGCAGCCTTGATGTTTCTGATGCCTACTTCAATTGTCTTCAGGGCGAGCCGACCTGCACTTCCGTGAGGATCGGGGATCAGGTTGTGTGGTTTCGTTTGCTCCGGTGCCTGCCTGGGCAGCGCGACGGATCAGCGCGGTGGTTTTCAAAGTTCAGCGAGACTTTGCAGACTGAAGCCGGGGCAGAGCTGATGCCCGAATTGCCGTCTTTGTTCCGCCTCACCGACGGCAGTGGCAAACCGCATGCAGCGGGCCTCATCCATGTTGATGACATGCTGAGCACCGGAAGGAGAATGGCCTTGGAAGGCATGATCGAGAAGTTGAAAGGCCAGTTTCAACTGCGGGTTGAGTGGATCTGCAACACAGGAGATGAAATCCAGTTCCTAAAGAAACGCCATTTTCTTTTGTCTGAACATGAATTGATCATTCAGGTCAATGGCAAGCACCTCAGCAAGTTGCGAGACCTCACGGGGAACCCGAAGGTTCGGAAGTCCCCTTTACCTTCAGGAAGATGCGAGACTGATGGCCCGAGCTTGGAACCTGAGCGTGCCGGTCTGTACCGGCAGGCAGTCGGTGTGCTGTTGTACTTGCAGGCTGACATGCCCGAGTCACAGTTTGCAATTCGGCTCCTGTCGACATGCATGTCGAACCCGACTGTGCCAGCCTGGGCATTGCTTCGACACTTGGTTGGCTATTTGACACATACGAGTGGGCACTGCATCTGTCTTGAAGCCGGTGAAGTCGGCGTGGGCCTGAAGATTCAAACCCCTGGTGAAAACGTGATTGAAGGCTTTAGTGATTCGGACTGGGCTGGCGATCGCCAGTCCAGAAGATCCGTGTCATCTTCAGCCATCCTTTGCAACAAGCATTACATCCATGGGTCCTCCAAGACACAGAAGGTAGTCGCACTATCTTCGGCGGAGGCTGAGTTCCACTCAGCCGTCAGTACCAGCATTGACTGCATTCTTGTGAAGGCAATGTATGCTTTTCTGTCCCCTGACCGAACTGGCAGTCCGCACATCCTGGTGGATAACTCTGCCGCGCGAGCAGTCTGCCAGCGCAGCGGAGTGGGTCGAATCCGGCATCTCGATGCCAAGCTTCTTTGGATACAGGCCAAGGTAGCTGCCAATTCCTTGAGGATCCATGCTGTGGAGACAAATCTAAATGTCTCCGACATAGGCACTAAGGTGCTGTCGGTGCAGCGTGTGCGATTCCTTCTTGGGATGCTCAACGTACGCGACTCATCACAAGATTTCCAGGTGGTCGGACAAGAACAGCTTGATGTGCTTGAGAACACAAAGGCTGTACGTGCGGCATGCAAGCAACTTCGAGGATATGCTAAGCGAGACAAGACTGGCGATGCCGCTAGAATCTTGAGTGTTGTGCTGTGTGCCATGCAGGCGCGTGATGCACTCGGCGCTGACACCCCCGGATCAGATGAGCCCAATGTTCCAGACGCCTTGAGCCAGGGCGACGACAACGAATCCTTGCTTGTGCGTGTGCTTCGTTGTATCGTGCAGGTGTGGTTTTTGATCGCTGAGATGTACGATCAGCATCCAGTGCCCTTCATGATCTTTTGCCAGACCGTGTTTCTTGCATTGCTCATGATGTGCTTCTGTTGCCGCTGTCGCGGCACCACCACTGATGCAGAGGTTCCCAAGGTGGTTGTTGTGGTTTCTGCTAGTCCCGAACCTGCCGGCCCTAGTTCCTCTACAACCCCTAATGCACCGCTTGTACATGCTGAAAGCACGGTGACTTCAGATCCTCAGCCAGAAACTTGCACCGAGGCTGCATCCAGCAGCTCACAGCTTCCTGCACCAGCGCCTAAACGGCGCCCAACAGCTGTGCCGCCACCTGCAGAAGACAACATCAACCAGGTCCGTGATCGTCTTCACGCTTGGATGTATGAGAACATCGTAGTACCTTCAGTGCATGATGCACAGTACCCAGTCCATGGTGCTGCTATGCCAAAGCGACAGCTGAGACGCCGTCGACCTGTCCTTGAGGTGAATCCCGAATCACGGGTGTATGTGACGCTACGCCGTGGACATTGCTTTCACCTACGCAGATCATGCACAGGTTTGAATCAAGCAGATGAGATCGAAAGGATTTTTCTAGCTGAAGCTCGACGTCGTGGAAAGGTGCCGTGCAACACATGTGCCCGTCACTTGGCGACGCCCTAATTGGAATTTTGCCCGACTTGTTTCGCCCGGCTTGGTGATGCTCATGATGCTGTGACTGTGCCAGGTCAGCTTACTTGTCATGTTCCATTTTGGAACCAATCCTTGTCATTTCGAACCTCCAATGTGTCAATCCGAATGCCTTGGTTTGAGTGATGCATTGCACTCATCCCTCGTGCGATGGCAGCTAGGCCATCACAATCTTTTGCTACGAGCCTCAATGGCTAAGTGAAGGCGACATCCAGCCGCCTATGGCTTCCGCTTGGGCTATACAAGCATGCGTAGTTGTAGTTCCTTTGCCGTAGCCTGCAGAGTAGCTGAACACGAGCCAACGACCGTGACGGCAGTGCTCGCAACAGACCGAAATTTTGGGAGCTCTAGTGAACTAAGTGTGTGTTGTTTGTTGTGAAAAGGGGAGAGGCGATCCTAAGTGACAAAAGCCCGAAGCCTTCTGTTCGCCCTTTTGTAGGCGGGGTGTTTAGGATTTCGCCTCCTTGAAACTCCCCACTTTATGTGATCTTGTCGTGGTTGCTTTACAGTATTTTCATGCTCCCAGTTTTCACTCACATGTCAATCAGTCATGTGCTTTGACGTGAGATTGCATTCGCACCGCAGGCGTCTTTTGTGTTTGAAAATCTTCGCAACTGTTGTACTTAGCGCCGGAACGGCCCGATCTGATGTATGTGCTGAAGAAACTTTCAACTAAGCTAGCAGCGCCTGTGGAAGCAGACATGGAACTGCTAAGGCATGCTGCGAAGTATCTGAAAGGTACACCTGACGTGTCGCTGATACACAAGAAGAGCTACCCAGGAAGAAGTTTCATCGAAGAGCGAAATGAGAGAAAAGATGAAGAAGTTGAGAGAAATGTCTATGAGCAAGAGTCACTGTTGGAGATAGTGACGGATTCTGATTGGGCAGCCGACAGAGAGTCGAGGCAGAGCGTGTCGTGTGGAGCGATCATGCTGAATGGAAATCTGATTCATTTTCAGAGCAAGAGGCAGAAGAGCATAGCTCTCAGCTCATGCGAAGCGGAGACTATCGCCGCAACGTCAATACTTTCTGAAGGAGTGTTTCTGAAGGCATTGTTGACGAAAATCCTCGGAAAAGAACCAAAGATGGTGATGTATTCAGATTCGAGCAGTTCAAGACAACTGATTGCTCGGAAAGGACTGGGGAAAGCCCGTCATCTCGACGTTGATCTGTTATGGATCCAGAGTATCCCGAGGTTGATCATAACCGAAGCGATCAAAGGAAAGGACAACCCAGCTGATCTGGGAACAAAGAGTTTAAGGAAAGACAAGATCCGAAAGTACATGACAAGCCTCGGATATGTAGGAGAGTTTGTGGACCAAGAAGAAGTTGAAAGGAATGTACAAGTGCGAAGAACGAACGGCAATGGCCGAAGCGGCAATGGCCGACGAATGAACGATGAGCGATTGGCGAAGATCATACAAGCCGTAACGATGGCTGTGTTGATAGGAATGGGAGAAGCCAAGAAAGCCAAGAAAGAAGATCAAGGACCGGGAATAGTCATGTGTATCATGATCGGTTGTGTGACATGCATGGTTTGTTGCACAGTTTATCCCGCAGCCGTTTTCTTGCTCAAGCGAGTAGGAAGAAAGGAAAGAAGAAAGAAAAGAGAACGATGGAAGAAGAGAAGACCCACGAACAGATGATGGAAGAGAAGGTTGAAGAGCCAAGGGAAATGAGAATTGGAGCTGAGGAAAGCAGGAAGAAGTTACTGGAGAATGCTCCAAAAGAAGAAGAACAGGCTAAAGAGCCAAAGGAAGAGTCCAAGGAAGAACCAAAGGAGGAGAAGAAGAAAGAGAAGAAAGGAAAGAAGAAGGAGAAGGATTCGTCGTGCAGTGATTCTGCAAGCGAGTCATCCTCAAGCGAGTCAAGTTCGAGGGAAGAGAAAAAGGAGAAGAAAGAAGAAAAGGACCAGAAGGAAGACAAGGACCAGAAAGACGACAAGGACCAGGAAGAAGACGACCAGGAAGAAGACAAGGACCAGGAAGAAGTCAAGGACCAGGAAGAAGCGCCTGAGAAAGTGGACCAAGAAGGAAAGGAAGAGGAAGAGAAAAAGGAGGAAGAGGCCGAGAAGACCGAAGACGATGAAAGATACGTCCTCCTGGCAAAGGAATGCAGATGGACGAAAAGGGAGCAAAGATGCTCGAAGAGACAGGGATCGATGGTGACGCCCTAAGGTCCGAAGCGACGCAGAGAATGTTCCAAGAGTTCAAGGAGACGATGGAAAGTCCAGTCGTGAAGATCCCAACGGGATATGGAACAAGGGTGCAACAATGGTTGGCAGCCCTGAAAGAGCAAGAAGAAGATGAGAAGGATTCTGACGACTTGATGTACGAAGATGTCGCCAACGCAGAGAAGGAAGCGGAAGATGCCGAACGGGCATATGGCGAAAAGTACCGCGAGATCGAGAAGATGATGGAAGAGTGCAAAAGCCTTAAGTCCAAGGTGCAGAAGAAGAAGAAGGAAGCCGAAGGACATTTGGCGGATGAGTTCAAGCACTCAAGAAGAATGCTGAGCGTGGTAAGGATGCTTGTAGAGACAAGTGAAGAAGTGATGAAGTGTTTGGTGGAAGCATCGCCAGACTACGGTCGACTTTTCGAAGAAAGACCGAGAGTGTCCTTACTCGAGCGAATGCGCAAAAGGAAGATGGCCGAAGGAGCCAGCGAGGCAGAGTCAATGGCTGCAGGCTCGGAACGGCACGTAAAGACGAAGGCAATGCCAAAGCCTTTGAAGCTACGCAAGGAAATGCCAGAAGTCGTGCAAGTTGATGATGCCGTCGAAGAGAAGAAGAATGAAGGTGAAGGAAAGGAGAAAAAGAAAGAAGAGCCAGACCTGAGCAAGGTCAACCCAAGATGGCTTTTGAAGTCAGGGGAAAAGAGTACCCGAAGCGAAAAGGAGACGGGAGCGCGCCAGTCCGGATGTTTTTTCTGCAAGGGATCGCATCGTGCGATTAAATGCCAAGAGATGCTGGACTTGGCAAAAGAGATCACGGGAAAGGTGCCAAGTACCGATTGGCGAGAGAAAGAGAAGCGGTCTCTGGTGCAAGTGGTGCTGGTACACCACCAAGAACCCGTCTGAGCACACGGGGTGGGGAAGCCATACCCACCAAAGGTGCTGGTACCAGAAGCAAGGCCAAGAGAATGAGGCCAAAGCCAAAGCCGAAAAGGAAAAGGCAGGAGCAAAGGAAGTCAATGAGGAAGTCCAGAAGATGGTGGATATGAGCGAGAGGCCTGCCGAGCCGAAAGGAATGCCACCGAATCCCCAATGGGGGATGGAGACGCTCAAGAAGCGAAAGGAGCCGGAGACACCAGGACTAAGCGTCGAAGAAGTCCAAACAAGCGATGACGAAGCGAAGAAGAAGCAGGCGAAGGAGAACATCAAGAAGATCAAAAGAGAAGAAAGGAGAAAGGAGCGTGAAGAGAGGAAGAAGGCAAAGAAGGAAGAGAAGAATGCAAAGAAGGAAGAGAAGAAAAAGGCCAAGGGAAGCGAGGCCAAGGAGCCGACAGCCGAGATCGACAAAGAGGATCTGTAAGCGCTGAAGATCTGAAAAGGATGAGGGCGAAAGCCCAGGATTCTGCGGGCAATGGCCCAAATACCGCATTTTGCGAAGACCGAAAGGTAGAATCCAGTTTCACAAACGATTCGTTTCACCAAGCCAATGGCAAAAATGGACGGTGCTTTGAAAAGCAAAGAGACAATGCAAAAAGCCGCTTGTGAGAAAGGCGTGCAGTGGTCTCGTGTTTCAAAGAAGCTACGAAGCAATGGTATGATGGTTTTGTTGCAAGCCACGGAGCACCACGAACGAAAGCACAAGTTTCAAAGAAACGAAATGCTGAGTGACTGATGGACTACGACGAGCTCGACACTGGCGAGAAAAAGTGAGTGCAAGCAGTAGAAGCGATTTGGTGCACGTAGAGTTACAGTTGCACAGAAGTGTTTCAAATTGCTCCAGGAGCCAAAGAAGAAAGAAGAAGGTTTACCCGAAGGGGTATGAGAAAAAGGAAAGATGGGCTCAACGGAGCATGAGAGAAAAGCGAGAAGGTGTTTGAAAATCGTTTCACCTAACGAGTTTCAAAGAGGGCGTAACAAACATTTCACTTTTCATGCCCGACTGTATATAGGCTCAAGCACCGCCCCTCGTGGAACGCCGCGAGTAGAGAAAAAGTGCGAAGAGAACTTGTGTTCTAGGAAAGGTTAAGAGTAGCCTTTAAAACTTTTAATCATTCTCGAATGGCCCAAACGCACTCGTCAGGCCCACCCGGCTGAGGGCGCTACATGTTGCTTGTGTTGATTTTGCCGTTGTGGACGGGGAAGGTGGGTGTTTGTTTGTTTGTGCGCTTCCCTTGGTTAGTAAGAGCGAGAACGCCAAGGAAGTGCTTGGCGCATTGCGCGGGCCTTTGTCTGCTAGTAAGAGCGAGAACGCAGCAAAGGTTTGTGCTTTCGATGCATCCAGTTCGCGTGCGGTTGCTGTGCTGCTTGCTGTGTGGCTTTACCAGCCTGCATGCGTGAGGGCTGTGCTGCTCACTGTGTGGCTTACACCAGCCCTTTGCCTGTTGATGCGAATAACTGCCCTACACCCAGCAGTAAGCCTGCCTCTCCCGCCCGTGCAGGGTATCAACTCTTTGCAACAGTGGAGTGCGCAATTGCCACGCCCCCTAGCTAGTACGAGCCTTGCCGCCAGGTGCCCGCACATGCACAGGCTCGAGGTGCACAGGCCCGTCCGGTTCAGGCGTGGCTGTAGGTGCCCGCGCATGCACAGGCTCAAGGTGCACAGGCCCTTCCGGAAGGCCCAGAAGTCCTTTGGCCTATCAAACTGTTGCCTAAACCCTCCCGGAAGGCTCAATTAGGCTTCTCAAACTGCCGTGCCAACAGTTGCCTGAAGGCCCAGAAGTGATTAGGCTTCTCAAACTGTTGCCTCAACCTTCCATGGAAGGCTCAGAAGTGATTAGGCCTCTCAAACTGCTGCCTAAAAC